TAAGGTTATTTATTGGTGAAAATGAAAAGTGCTGTATCTTTTATTTTATGGAGGAAAGTAAAAAGACTTTTTGGCCTACCCAGTAATTACTGTGGTGTTATCGTAAGTCTTGAAATCACGTAGTGTAGGTCAACAATTTTGTTGTTGTTTTTGAAGTTTGCTTTGGATACTTTAGATCCCTTGTATTTTCCACGTAAGTATCAGAGTCATCTTATCAGTTGCTCCAAAAAATACCAATAGGCTTATGATTGGGGTTGCATGGAATCTTTAGATTAATTTGGGAAATTAACATCTAAACGGTATTAAGTCTTCAAATATATGAGCATGGAACATCTCCCTTTTTATATAGGTCTTCTTTCTGTTAGTACTGGTTTGCTTTCAGTGTAGCGGTCTTACATTTCTTTTGAAAAATGTACTCCTAAGTGTTCTTTTAAAACTGTTGTCAGTAGAGCCATTATTTGTATTGTTACTCTGTTCATAATATGCCATTTTTCTCCTACTGCTTTCAAGATATTCTCTTTATTTTTTGGTTTTTAGCTGTTTGACTATGATGTGTTTAGGTGTGGTTTTCTTTATGTTTATCCTGCTTTGAGGTTTGCTGAACTTCATTTATGCCTGTCTCCAACTTGGGAAATTCCAAGCCATGATTTTTTAAAATATTTTTTCCCATTCTCTTTAATCTCTTCTTTTGGGACCTCATTTATGTGCGTATTAACTGTTTTGATTTTATCCCACAGAACCCTGGAGCTGTTTCATTGTTTTCAGTCTTCAAGTTCACTGACTCTTTTTTTATCTCTAATTTTTTCGCTCTGTCAACAGGATTGACAGTTGGGATGATTTATGAAATTCCTGGTTTGAGAGCAGTTCCTGTTGCTTTGTAAGTGTAGTGAGTTAGGGGCTTTTGCAGGGGGGGGGGGAGATGGTGGCATCTCCTTTGACTTTGAATTTTCTCTTGTAAATCCTTACATAGGATTCTGATTTCCCCTCCTTTTCCATTCACAGAACAGTTTCAGAGGGATTCACACCTTCCTTTAACCCCCTTCTCTACAGAAACATTGACTTTCTAAGACTGCCTCATTGAGTTATAGACCACTCCGGGCTACCAGAGGTCTTTGTCAGTATCTTCATACTTCAGGGGGGATTTCTTTCTCCAGCAGTGATTTTAATTCCACTTAGGCTCTCCATCATTCTCTCTCTTTTAAGCAGTTCCCTTCCCACCTGGGGCCCACCTTGCTCTTTGTAATGTAAAAAGTTGGGATGAGAGTTTGAGAAATATCTCCACCAGAAATTGATGGTTACTTTTTTTTACTTCCAGGCTAGTTGAAGCTTGTAGTGTTTTCAGTCTTCTAATTATGTTAGAAGATACAAGATATTTATGATTTTAGTAGTTTTCTTGTTGGTCTGTATAGTTTTTGGAGGATGTATTGGGATATTTGGATTTATGTAGCTGCTACAACCTTGACATTCAGGAAGACTTTCCTAACATTTTATTTTGAAGAATTTGAAGATGTCAGGAAAGTTATGTGGTGAATAATTGCATATTTTCATCTAGATTCATAAGTTTGTTACTTTGCTTTATCTTTTTCTCTTCCTCTCTTAGCCTGTGCACGCACATACACACATTTTTTTAGTCGAATGATACGAAAGTTGAGAGAACACACCAACTTACTCTAATATTTTATCATGTATCTCCTACATAATTATGGTATAATTATCACAATTCAGTAAGTTATAACAGTGATAAAAGATCAGTATGTAATATGTACTCTATCATCAGACTGCCCAGTTGTCCCAATACTGTCCTTTATAGCTTTTTTCTGATGTGTAAAGTCCTGTCAGGGGTCACACAGTGCGTTTTAGTTGTCATGTCTCTTTAGTCTCCTTTAAGCCAGAAGACTTTACTAGACTTTCTGTTTTACTTTGTTTTGTTTTTGAGACATGGGCATTTTTGAAGAGTCCATGCCTTGTAGATTTGAACTTGGCTGATTATTTCCTCATGACCAGAGTCATGATTAGCTCAGTTAGAATACTACCTAGTGATGTTGTTACCTTCTCAGTGCACCCTTCAGAAAGCATATGGTTTGATTATTATTGGTGATACTATGCTTAATTACTTGATCAATGTGGTTATCTGCTAGATTCCTCTTGTAAAATATCTTTTGCCACTCACCCCTCCACCTCCCACATTATTTCTTCAAGTACAAGTAGGTTATTTGGGAGATAAGCCCAGGACATAGTGATAGAGGAGAGGAGAAGCGAGATGGGAAAGAAAAGTTATTCAACAAAGTTATGTTGTCAAGCCATTTACCACTGGTGGGCAACCAAACCTAATTTCACTGGAGAACACTGGAGCCAGTGTAGAACTCATGTTCCATGTTATCTCACAGAAATGGTAAGAAATATTGGCTCTTTAGATACCAACTCCTGTCAGTCATTGTTTGAGGCTACTCCCAAGGACATCAATTGTCTGGAGCTTCCAATGTACCATTAACAGGTGCAAAATGGGCCCTGAATGCCAAAGGATGCCATTAGTTAAAGAGATGCAGACGTTGGCACGGAAGTTAGGCCAGGGTGCCCTACTGTGGTAGGAGCTAAAGGGATAATAGGCAGAGCATTCATAGTGTGTGTTCTACCTGGGTTCCCCAATACCTGGAGCTTAAGGCAAAAACTTATATGCCATTAGGGTTTCAGGAAGTGCAATTCCAGGAAGCAGAAGTGAGGGAAAGGGAAACTGAGAGATGGAAGATTAAATCAGTTCCAGGGTACATTTCCAAGCTGGCCACCCCTAGTAACAAGTATACAACTCATTGCTTGATTTCCTAATACTGTCTCCTAGGAGGATGTGTAAAGCACTGCATCCCAGGACAATCTACCCAAAGGAAGGAGAAGATTTGCCCCTCAGCTTCTGTCTCTCATTGGTGAAAGCTTTGCTCCATGGTACATTTACTCCCCAGAACTCTCAGATGGTACATTTGTGGGCATCAGGTGGGTCCCACAGGAAGGTGAGAGGCATCTAATGTGAGCAAGATGTACGAGACCATTGGGCTGTACCTTTGTGTAGTTGGTTAGAACCCATGCATATTTGGTCTGCCTAATCACCTGGGATGAAAAAAAGTAATCAGGGACCTCAGACAGGCAACACTCAGTAGACTTGCAATGCTGCTGCATAAAATGTGCTTGATACATTTGGATTCTACTTTTGTTTAAAAATACACACTTACATACACATAAAACACATACACAAATACAATCACTTATAGAAAAAACAACAGCCATCTCTTGCTGGTAGGGATCCAACCAAATTTTACTTCCACCCATATTTTTTGATATATAATTAAAACTTTCTATAAAAATATTTTTTAATTTTACAATAGGAAAATAGTTGTGAGTAGTTTAGAAAGGAAGGCAGAGCAGTAAACATTTTTTTACAGTAGAAACTGGGAAAAAGAGTGATTCCACATTTTATTTTATGGGCAGAGATTAGAGTTGTCCTTTTTTTCAACAAAAGGTTAAATCTTTTATGATATTATTTGGAAAAATAGCAACAAGTTGCTTTTTAAATATAAGAAGTGTTTCCATGGCTGGTGTGGCTCAGTGGTTGAGTGCCATCCTGCAAATTGAAGGGTCGCTGGCTTGATTCCCAGTCAGGAATCCCAGGCACATACCTGGGTTGCAGGCCAGGTCCCCATTAGGGGGTGCATGGAAGGTAACCATACATTGATATGTCCCTCCCTCTCTTTCTCTTTCCCTTCCCCTCTCTAAAAAATAAATAAATAAAATCTTTTAAAAAAAATGTAAGAAGTGTAATTATTGCCTTATAAAATTAGTTTCTAAAGAATTAGAATAAACAAGAATAAAAAAATTCTAGGCAATTCAGAAAAAGAATTAAAAAACATACTTTGTCTGTATATCCTGCACTATGTATTGTGTTGGCCAAAAGTTTGTTTTTCCCCATAACATGGCTGTAGTAGTGCATAATTATCTTTAACTTCATTCAGAACAATTTTGTTAGATTGTAGTGTGACAGCTGTCATATCAGCATGCATTAAAAAAGATCAAAATTGGTGAATTTTTGTGTAGCCATTTTGAAGACAAAAGAATGTACACATATTTTCAGCATATTATGCTTTATTATTTCAAAAAAGGTAAAAACACAACTGAAATGCAAAACAAGATTGTGCGGTGTATGGAGGAGGTGCTGTGACTGATTGAATGTGTTAAAAGTGGTTTGTAAAGTTTCATGTTGGAGATTTCTCTCTGGACAGTGCCCCACGGTTGGGTAGACCAGTTGAAGTTGACAGTGACCAAATTGAGACGTTAATTGAGAATTAACATCACACCACGTGGGAGGTAGCTGACATACTAAAAATGTCCAAATCAATAAAGTTATTGATAAAAATGAAAAATGTGTCTTTTATTGAAAAAACTCTATGGACTTTTGGGCCAACCCAATATTTCATTAATTCCTTCATTTATTAATTTAATTACTAACCAGACACTTAGGTCTCTGACCCCTTAATATAGGTAAAGTACTGTGCTAGTCACTGGGGGTGCCGGTATAAATCAGGAGGAATCCCCCACCTTCTCGGGGCCAATATTGGAGTGGGAGAAAAAGGATGTGACGGAGACAGTACTCACCAAATATTCAAATGCTTTCTTGCATTTCCCAGCCTCCATTGCAATTGCATTGGGGCCATGTGACAAGTTCTGTCCACTTCTGGCCTAAGGCAGCTATGACCTGGTGTGACTCCAGCTCTCTCTACCCCTGCCGTGATGACTTTGGAGATCACATGTGCTATATGACACAGCTATGAGAGGGACAAGGCCACCAGATTACCTTAGATTGTGTATGGAGTGAGATACAAATCTTTATTGTTAATCAATTCCCCCCTTTTTTGATAGAGTAAAATATACACAACATAAAATTAATTTAACCATTTTAAAGTATGTAATTCAGTGGCATTAAGTCCGTTCATTGCATATACCCTTCTGTTTGACAGGTGCTCCTTTGAGACTTTGTGAATATCCTGTTCCCCCACAACTGTTAGCATCCAATGATGAGTCTTGGATGCTGCTATTACCACAACAATTATTTAATATGGTAAATTTACGCAGTTGATCTTAATATTCCCTTTTACTAATGAGGAAACTTGGGCACAGAGAGGGTAAGTAATTACCCAATTTAAGTAACTTATCTGATGGAGCTGCGTATTGAGCCACATCTGACTCTAACGATCAGTGCATGCTTTATAAGCGAGAGTTGGCACACTGTGGCTTGTGGGTCAGGTCTGCCACCTCTTTTTGTAATAAAATTGTATGGAGACACAACTGTGCCCCTTCATTTACATATTGTTCATTTACATACTGCTCCTTTCATGTTAAACTCCCAAAGTTGAATAGCTGTGGCAGAGACCAGAGAGCTTGCAGTACCTGAAATATTTACTGTTTGGCCTTTTACAGAAAAAGTTTGTTGACTCCTGCTTTATGGAGTAGGTATTTACAGTTTTGTATTTGTTTTTGTTAAAATAATACATGCACATGTTTGAAAATCAGATAGTGCTGTAAGCTTTGTTTTGTGAAAGGAGGTTTCTGTGTGCGCAGACGCAGGCGTGCCGCGTCCTTTACCTGACTGCTCTGTCCTTTCCAGTTCATCACATTCCAAATAATATCCTTATTCCGTTATTCATGTATCAATTTTAAATCCTAATTATCAACTGACCTAGCTTACGCCACTAATCTACTTTTTAGTGCTATATTATAAATGAATTTATCGTTCTTAGCTGAAACGTAATGTTTTATGATCATTTAGTTTCCTGCATTTTACTCAGAACGTACATAAGAAAATTAACGTGAATTTAGCAATAACTGACATTTTAGTACTTCATGTGTGCCAGGCAGTAAATAAAGATTAAATGAATGTTTACTGTACTGTTATTATCTCTATTTTCTACATGAGAAAACATCATTTAGAGAGACTATGTGATTTTTTCCCTTGGTCAAGCACCTAGTGGGTGATAGAACTGAAATGGACATTCAGAACTTGAGCTCTTAATCATCACATTATAATGCCGTGTGGAGAAGGATAACTTTTTGACATTCATAGATGTGTAGTTCTATTAGTGAATCTGAAGATTTATAACGTTTAAGTTTTCGGAGGCGTGAACTTCGAATCTGATTTGAGACAGTTGTAGTCGTAGTCAGGCAAGTGGCAGCCAGCTGCAGTTGCGTTTTCTGAGGGCAGTTCTGTTTTCTCCTGGACTGTAAGTTTGCACTGCCTCTGTCTAATGCACTGGCTTGCAAACTTGAGCTCACCTCAGAATTACCTGGTAGGCTTGGCAAAGCACTAATTCCTGGGCCTCACATCTGCCTTCTGGCTCTGTAGGTCTACTGTGGGGCCTGAGGTCTCACATTTCTAACAAGTTCAAGGTGAAGCTGAAGCTGCGAGGGACCAAACTGGGCTAATTCCTGAGTGTAAGGGGTCTTCTGTGTTACTTTCTCCTGCTCTTTAATTGTTTTATTTCTGTTAGTCTTCTCCCACCAGCTAGATTGTGAGCTCCTGGCACACAGTTCAGTTAGTGTGGTTTACATGGTTTTGTTGACCCCACAGAGGCCTGGGTCATGTTACACATGTAGTAGGTAGTAATAAGTTGATTGCTCTCCGTTATGGTGTGTTTGTAATTTTGGCTTTTTTGTTTATAAACACTATAATTGTAATGCATATTTATCATGCATTCTCATTATTAAAAAATTAACCCTTAAGAGCACTACCACCCTAGCAAAAAGAAACTTAGCAGAAAAGTAGAAGCAGCCCCTGGAGGGTTTTCAGGGGTGTGAGATTGTAGGCAAGCACTGAGGAACTTAGTCCTCGATTGGCGCAGTATGTCGAACTGACTTGTAGGATACTGCATGTAGATGTTTTCTCTGATTTGTAGTAGGGGATCTTGCCTTCAGCATTCTTTGAGATATTTTTTTAATCTTTTGTTTATATAGAAGTCAACCAGAATCCACATGTCTGGGACCAAGGAAGGAATTCTTGGAGGCCACGACAGCTTTCCTCCTGCCAGTAGCAGCTGTGTGTTATGCTTTGGACAGGTAACTGAGTTTTTTACACCTGAGAAGAATGAGGTTAAATAAAAAGCTATGAGGAAGCAATTAGTAGATACCATCATATACATATGCATAAGCTATTTATTGTTATTAGTTTTTCCTTTATATGTATTACCATATTTTTGGACTATAAGACACAACCCCCCTCCCAATTTGGGAGGAATAATGGTTGTTAATACTGCTGTTGAGTTCTGTTTACATTTACATTGGTGAAATATCATGTTGTTTATGTTATTAAATATTTTATCACATTTTTTGCTTCAAAAATTTTTTTTCTATTTTCCTCTTCCAAAACTTAGGTGCGTCACATGGTCCAAAAAATATGGTATTCTGGAGCCTTTGATGAATTCTCAGGGCATTTTGGAACTTTAGCATCAAAAAACTAATAGTATTGCAGATTACATTTAGCTTTAAATCTTACTTAGTTTTTGGGTAGATTACATATTCATATGATATAACATTCAAAATGAAAGAAAGACTATACATGAACAGTTTTACTATTTCCCTATCACTCCTGCCCACCTTTCACCCAGTTCTCTATTAGAGGCATCCAGAGTTTCTGGTGGCATTCTATGTAGCCATATCTGTGCATGTAAAAGACATTCTTGCTTTGTCCAGTCACATTCTTTACCAGAGATCTGTTTGTAAGTATTGTTTCACCTAAATGGGGAAAAGGGGGAAACCACCCAGGGGACAGAAACCCAAACATGTTGTAGTATATTTATCAGTGTGGGACGGGAGGTTGTTCAATGGGAGAAGAGGTGTACAACTTTGGAGAAGACAGTGGAAGGCAGACTCCCTGTCAGTTTTCTGTCTTCCACTCCTTTGCCTGCATAAATGCCATATGCAGACTTGGAAGTGGGAAACTTTTTAGTTTCCCAATTCTGGCTTGAGAAAATTTTGTAGGGATGGTAGTAACATTTAAGGCAGTGGTTCTCAAAATGTGGTTCAGTGACCCCTGGAGATCCATGAGATCTTTTCAAAGTCCAAAAGGTTAAAATTTTTTTCATAATAATGCTAAAATAGTGCTTGCTTGTTTTCACTCTCATTCTCTCATGAGTGAATGGTGGAGTTTTCCAGAGACTGCATAGCATGTAGTGGTATTGCCCTGGTCGCTGGTGGAATGTGTGTCGGTTTGAATTCCTCACTTTGGTAGGTAAAGCCCACATAAACAACAGCTCTTAGGGTCTGTGATTCTTTTTAAGTGTGTAAGAGTGTGTGGAGTAGTCTGAAAAATTGAAGACTTACTGACAAAGAATATTGGGGGGACTTCCAGCCAAGTTGAAGTTGTAGGTGGTACATTGTGCCTCCTCACACAACCAAATTTAAGGACAACAAAGATTTAGAAACAAAAACACAACTAGAACTGACAGAAAATTGAACTGTACCAAAGTCCAACAATGAGCCATTCTTCCAGACTGGTAAGAGGGGCGGAGTCGGCGACCTGTGGAGAGGGGTTGCAGAGGGAAAAAGTGGTAGTTGGCAGACCCCAGGCACAGGGAGGAACTGCACAGACCTGGTGAGGCATGCAGGGAGGCTGGCTGACCACGGTCACACATTTGCAGATAAACCAGACAAAACTGGGCAGTGAGACAGACCACCCAACTCAGGGCCCCTGCAATGGGAAATAAAGCCTAAAAGCATCGATTGAAAAAACTTGTGGGGGTTGAGGTGCCGGGAGAAACTCCCAGCCTCAGAAGAGATTTCACTGGAGAGACCCACAGGGTCCTAGAACATATACAAGCCCTTCCACACGGGTACCAGCACCAGAAGGGCGCAGTTTGCTTGTGGAAAGTGGGGGAAGTGACTGAAATCCAGCAGAGAGTGGAACAAGCACCACTGTTCCCTCTCTGACCCCACTCCCACACATAACCTCACAACCCAGCAACTGGGTTGCCCCACCCTGGTGAACACCTAAGGCTCCACCCCTCATGTGTAACAGGTGTGACCTGACCAAAAAATTATGGCTCAAACGGAAGAAAAAGTCAAAGCCCCAGAGCCAATACTTTTAAGCTACCAAGAGATAGCCAACCTATCAGGTGCACAGTTCAAAACACTGGTGATCAGGATGCTCACAGAACTGGTTGATTTTGGTCGCAAATTAGATGAAAAAATGAAGGCTACACTAAGTAAAATAAAGCAAAATGCACAGGGAACCAATAGTAATGGAAAGAAAACTGGGACTCAAATCAATGGAGTGGACCAGAAGGAAGAAAAGAATGACCAAAGAGAAAAGAATGAAGAAACAAGAATTCAAAAAAGTGAGGACAGGCTTAGGAACCTCCAGGACATCTTTAAACGCTCCAATATCTGAATTATAAGAGTACCAGAAGGGGAAGAGGAAGAGAAACAAGTGGAAAACTTATTTGAACAAATAGTAAAGAAGAACTTCCCCTAGCTGGCAAAGGAAATAGACTTCCAGGAAATCCAGGAAGCTCAGAGAGTCCCAAAGAAGTTGAACCCAAGAAGGAACACACCAAGGCACATCATAATTACATTACCCAAGATTAAAATGAAGGAGAGAATTCTAGACATAAGGGGACAGTCACCTACAAAGGAGTTCCCATCAGACTGTCAGCTGATTTCTCAAAAGAGACCTTACAGGCAAGAAGGGACTGGAAGGAAATATTCCAAGTGATGAAAGGCAAGGACCTACATCCAAGATTTCTCTATCCAGCAAAGCTTTCATTTAGAATGGAAGGGCAGATAAAGTGCTGTGGGAGAGACTTCTTTCGAGAGGGTCCCCCCTGGTGCCATGGACACGCATGAATGAGTAAATATAGCTGAGACAAGATGAGATCTGTTTGGGAATGGAGGAGTGGGCCGTGGCCAGTTTCTCCGAGGAGAAAAAGGCCCCGAGCACCCTCTTTCATAAGCCCTTTATTGGGTTGTAATACACAGGAATACAAGGCAGCAAGGATCAAACAGTAGATAACATTACAAAGAGATCTGAGGGCTTCAGAGTCAGTGTCTGTCAGGAATAGAGTTACAGAAACTTTGGGAGACATACTCATTTCCTCTTGGACCCTTATCATATGAATGAAAGCACTCTTAGCAGAGCAGATTTCACAGGTTTATCAGCAAGTCTTTGTGGTGCCAGATTTTTCCCCAGGACATGCTCTGGCCAGGCAAGGAGCTGCACCTCTCCCCATCAGGTATTCAGGCTTAAGGGGATTAGAGCCAGGAAGCAATTCTCCCAGAGAACATGGGGACTCGGGCTTTGACAAAGCTGGGGGGCGAGAGTCCATTGCTCTTTGTTGCAGCTCCCCCAGGTCCTTCCATGAAGGCCTCCCAGGTGATCAGGTCTGGCTTAGGTTGGCCCCCCCGCTGTGAGCAGTCTTACCCGGCACTGACTTCCGACCAAACTCTGAGGGCAGGGAGAGGAAACTGAGGCAGCGTTTGCTACCAGAGACAGGCTTTGTCTCCTGTGGCTGGCATTCCAGAGGTCGTCTCTTACCCTTAGCTACAAGGGGTAGAGATGCAAATCCTAAAACTAGGCAGAGCGGTCTACAACAAAGTGCTTCTCCGATAAGGTCGAGTTAAAGGAGTTCATTATCACCAAGTCCTTATTATATGAAATGTTAAAGGGACTTATCTAAGAAAAAGAAGATAAAAATATGAACAGTGGAAGGACAGCAAACTCACAGTTATTAACAACCACACCTAAAACAAAAGCAAACTAAGCAGACAGCTAGATGAGGAGCAGAGCCATAGAAATGAAGATCACATGGAGGGTTAGCAACAGGGGAGTGGGAGGAAGATAGCAGGGGAGAAGTTACAGAGAATAAGTAGCATAGACTGTGGAGAGAAAATAGGGGGAGGACAAGAGTAGTGTGGGAAATGTAGAAGCTAAAGAACTTATGAACTAAAGGGGGGGAATGTGGGTGGGAGGGGGTGTGCGTGGTGGAGGGGAATGAAGGGGGGAAATGGGACAACTGTAATGGCATAATCAATAACATATATTTAAAAAAGAATATTGGAAATGTCAATTACATTTTCTTTCTGTATTGTAGTACCAATACACAGCAGAAGAGTATCAGTCCATCCAGAATGCTCTGAGGCAGAGGCTCGGCCCAGAATACATAAGTACCCGTATGGCTGGAGGAGGCCAGAAGGTAGGAGTGTTTATGCACCTAAACAGTGGGCACCCATGTGGCTGACTTTTCAGATGATCTTGCCGACTCCCTTTCTGGGTCCTCATGGATTCAGAAAGTCTCTTGTTCATTGTTACCCAGTGTTTCCTAGTGTCTTTGGGAGGGTATGGCTTCTGGCCTTTATTGTCATCTCAAGTGACCCAAGGATTATCTTGAGACTTACATACCTGCCATCATAGGATTTTTATGAAATCCTTTAAAAATATGTCTCTTGCCATTTGTTTCTAATTTTAACTGTTGTGTATGTTTTTAGCCCTCTGTAATACACATTAACCTGAGATGTGTACCTTTTTGGAAATTGAGCTTTGGAAACTGTTAGGCAAGTAGGTGTCTTTACTCTTGATTTTAACCCCTCCTGGCAGAACATTCATTCTAACTGGCTCCTTCAGGAAGGGTCTTTGAAATAAGTTCACTGAGAATCTTTACTGGAATACGTAAAGGCAATTTTGCCAAAAAAGCTGGTAAGGAGTAAATTAAGTAAATTTTGATATACATGTCAGTATGGCAAGAAATTTTAACAAGCTTTTCTTTAAAAAAATTTTTTTCAGGTGTGTTACATTGAGGGTCACCGGGTAATTAATCTGGCCAATGAGATGTTTGGGTACAATGGCTGGGCCCATTCCATCACACAGCAGAATGTTGGTGAGTATGCTTCCTGGCAGTGGTGACTTCTTCATCTCCCTTACTTGGCATTGTCTAATTTCTGATAAGAGTACTTTGTGGGTGAGGATGTCGAGTAGGTGTATTTGACTTCCAGCAGGAAGAATATGGGTGAAGCACAGGGATCAGTATCTTCTCCTACTGGTTTTCTTTCTCACTCCTAGATTTTGTTGATTCAAACAACGGCAAGTTCTACGTGGGAGTCTGTGCATTTGTGAGAGTCCAGTTGAAGGTGAGGGTGAATAAACGTGCTGCCTCCAAGAATCAGGAGGGTGGTGAGAATGAGTGAGCAGGTAGGGGAGTCTCTGGGCTGTGGCACACCCAGCCAGAGAATGGGCCCCAGAGCTGGGTCCCAGCCAGTCTTCTCAGGATGCTGGGAGTCAAACATTCTTTCCCATGTGGCCCCTAAAAGGATTTTGGAAAACTGTTCTCTGTACATTTTTAAGTTGACACTTAAAAGTTTTCACCATAAATATAAATAGTTGCAAGAGTATAATTTTAGGCACATTGTGAAATTTGACATTTTGAAATAAATCTGTTAAATCTTTTTATAATGTACCAAATGATTCTAAATATCATAGAGGATTAAATACTGTCATCCATTTAAAAAATATATAAGCAAGCTGTTCTTTCATCATAAGAAATTTGACATTGTTTCTTCTTGAACTCATAGTTTCGTTCTGTTTCTCCACTAGCTTTTATCCTAATGTCATATATATTTATAATTGAAGTTTTTTTTATTAATAACTTGATCATACTTCTCTGCCTTTGTGTGTGTGTGTGTGTGTAAAAATTATTTTTTTTGGTAAATTTCCAGGAACCTGAGGCTCTAAATAATAAAAAATTTCTTCTGGATTGACTTAATGTTACAAGTATTATTAACACACAATTGACCACTCAATTGAGTTAATGTGGAAGAGAAACAGAACTTCATCAAAATTTTTATACTTAATAAAATTAAATTTTATGGGAAATGCATTTCTTAATGAGATGAATGATGCTGTTTTTTTCTTTTTGTTTAGTTTATATATCCATAGTTTAATATTATTCCTAGACAGAACATTCAGCATTAATTCTATTCTGACTTTATTTTTATGAGCAATACTGAAAAATTTTATTCACGTAAATAAACTAGGAGTAGAAAGAGTTTTTATTATAGTGTCATTCATTTCTTTGAATGTTTTCTGAGTTATATTCCAAAATTATAGTGTACAGTCACTGGGAACTACATTCAGTTCTCTAGGTGCAAACAGCTTGATCAGCTCCACCTTCATTGCTGGCAAAAGTCAAAAAGTAGGTACCACATGACTTGCGAAAGGATTTTTCTGTCCAATCATTACAGTCTGTTAAATACAGTACTTACAATTTTTCTTCAATTTGGTGTCCCAGGGTTTTTATACCTTTGGGTATAAAAGATACCTGAGTGAGATGCGGGGTAGGTTGGATATATGTGTTTTTTATGTAAAAGAGGAACTGGGAGAGGAGAATTGTCTTGACCACAGCCGCATTTCCAAGCAGATCAGGTCTGGGGAATAGTACTGGAGATTGATTCTCTGACTCTGTGCACCACCGTTAGAGGAAAAGAAGAGCTGTAGAGCCAAAGGCACAGCTGCAGCCTTTCATGTTAGACTTTGAACTCCTTTTCTACATCCAGGATGGTTCATATCATGAAGATGTGGGCTATGGTGTGAGTGAGGGCCTCAAGTCAAAAGCCTTGTCTTTGGAGAAGGCCAGGAAGGAGGCAGTCACAGATGGGCTGAAGCGAGCACTGAGGTACGCACAAGGGGTCAGAGTCGACTCTGCTGCATTTCAGTGCTGGTTTCAAAGCAGTTTTGGTTTCTTTCAAAAGGTAATGTATTCACATTGTTCAAAAATCAAAATACTTAAGCCTGCCCTGCTTTTCTACTTATTCTCTTGTATTTTCCCCATGCTACTTTGTGCTTTGGTGTCCCCTTTTGGGAATAAGTGGCAGAATACTATGTTCTCTGTTCTGTATTTGATTTTACACTTTTTTCTCTTCTACTTGGTAATGTATTTGGAGACTTTCCACACGGGTACACAGATAGCTTCTTCATTCTCTTTAACACACCTAAATACCTCTTCATTTTGCATATGTCACTTAGTTAACTTAATTACATAGAGCAGGGTTTTTAACCTCTTTGGGTCATAGATACCTTTGAGATTTGAGGTGAATTGGGTCACCAGAAAAATACATGTGTAAATGTGCACCAAAAATTTGCAGTGCTACGGTGTTAAAGGAGTATGTGTATACCAAGTAAAGAACTTCAGTCTTGGAGGACTGTGCCCCTAATTGTGTGTGGCTCACTATTATTGGGGAATTGGAGTAGTCCTCAGGGAAAAAAAATCTCTGCTCTGAAATTTGCGGTCCACATCAGGATGTAAAATGGGGTTTTGTGAATTTTTTTTAGTCTTTTCATATTCATTGCCTCTTGTTGAGGACAGTGATTTGTGACTGTTATGCCCACCCCTTATTCTGACAACCTAATCCCATGCAGGCAGTGGCAGGTGCTCAGTAAACAGTGTTGAAGGCATATGAGGGCCCATTCTGCTGCTGCCATTGGGAAGCAGCATGCACAGAGATGTAGCTCTGTTCTCTGATGCTCACATATAGCAATCCTCATTCCTGTTTTTTTTTCCTTATCCTTAGAAGCTTTGGCAATGCACTTGGAAATTGTATTCTGGACAAAGACTATCTGAGGTCACTAAATAAGCTTCCACGCCAGGTATGTTAGAAATGAATGAATGGAATGTATCGCAGTAAAGATCTAATTCCCTTGTGTCATGGGCCGAGTATTTGGGATTGAAGAGGAGTGAAGACTCAGCTGCTTAAAGGGTCTGCAGTATGTACTTCAGACTTCTTTAATTATCAGAGCTTGCAGGAACGCATCACCTTATTTCACAGCTGAAAAAAACGAGCCCGGAGAACTTGTGTCACATCCCTCTCATACAGAGAGAGCTGTGGCTGGGAATGGGCCGTGAACCCTTCATGGAGCACGTATCCCTCAGCCCTCGTCAGTGCCACTGTCATTTCTTAGAAATACTCAGAACCTGGATCCCCTGTTCATCTTTCTTGCTTTCCCTTAATTCTGGTGTCTTTCAGGTTTAGACCTCCCTGTTTCTGTCAATGCCTGTCCCATGACCAGAGCCTTTGCCTTGGAGAACGGGGTCTGGAGCATTCCTGTTGCCTGGCACAGGGCGGCTGCTGCCCCTGGTGTTCTCTGGGGTCCCTGCAGGGCTGCCACCCAAGCAGCACGCCCCCTCTTGTACTTGAGGGTTCTTCTCATGGGGCTCCTAATAGAGATGTGTCATTTGGCATCTGTCAAAACTCCATTAATTTCCTTTTAAAAATATTTTCTTTTGTTTGTTTTAAAAGATTTTATTCTTCTTCTTATTATTATTATTATTTAGGGAGGGAGAAAGACAGGGAGAAAAACATCGATGTAAGAGAGAAACATTGATTGGTTGTCTCTCATATGCATCCCAACTGGGGACCAAACCCATAACCCAGGCCTGTGTCCTGACCAGGAATCGAACCAGCAACCTTTTGTTTTGCAGGATGATGCCTGACCAACTGAGCCACACTGGTCAGGGCTTTGTAAAAGTCTTTTTTATACATTATTGTACATACCCAGTTTGCTAATACTTCATTAGGGATTTTTGCATCTATGTTTATAACAGGTGTTAGTCATAGTGTTTTCTTATTTTATTGTTGTAAGAAACATGTAACAAAATTTACTATTTTAACCATTTTTAAGTGTGCAGTTCAGTAGTGAAACAGATCTCTAGAATTCTTTTATCTTGTAATACTGATGCTCTGTACCCAGAAAACAACTCCCCCTTCTTCCATCATCAATAACCACCATTCTGCTGTCTGTTCCTAGGAATTTGACTACTTTAGATGCTCATATAAGTGGAAACACAGCTTTTGTCCTTTTGTGACTGCCTTATTTCACTTAGCATAATGACCTCAAGTTTCATCCATGTTGTAGCATGTCAGAATTTCCTTCCTTTTAAAGGCTGAATAATATTCCATTGTATGCATATAGTATCCTATTTTGGGGTTGCTTCTATCTTCACTGTTGTGAATAGTGCTGCTATGAACGTGGGTGTGCAAATACCTCTTCAAGGCCCTGCTCTCAATTCCTTTGGATATGTATCCAGAAGACGGGTTGCTCATTCATTTCATAGTTATATTTTTTGAGGAAATTCCATACTGTTTTCTATAATAGCTGTACCATTTTGCAGTTCAAGTAAGTGTGACAGGGCTTCCATTTCTTTACATCCTCACTTATTATTTTCTATTTATTTATTTATTTATTTATTTATTTATTTATTTATGTTTTGATCGAAGCCTTATTAATGGGTATGAGGTGATATCTTATGGTGGTTTTGATTTTCGTTTCTCCAATGATTAATGATATTGAACATTTTTTCAAACATTTATTGGCCATTTGTATGTCATCATTGGAGACATGTCTGTTCAAGTCCCTTGCCAATTTTTAAATGGGCTATTTGATTTTTTTGTTGTTGAGTTGTACAAGTTCTTTATTTTATAATTTGGATATTAACCCCTTATTAGAGATGTGATTGCAAATTTTTTCCCATTCCATAGGTTACCCTTGAAGTTTTCAGGTTTGATGTAGTCCCATTTGTATATTTTTTGCTTTTTGTTGCCTGTGTTTTGATGTCAAATTCAATATGAAGTTTTCCCCTGTTTTTTAAATGAGTTTTAGATTTTGGGGTCTTAAGTTTTAAGTCTTTAATCTATCTTGAATTTATTTATTTTAATCTTATTAGCATTTATTTTATGCTGAATTTACTCCAGGGCCATATGTTTTTGTCTCTTCAGTTTCTTCTGGGATATCATTTTCTTCTGAGCAACCTCCTCCTCCGGTTTAGGAACAGTCTGCTCCTTTTTCAGTAGGATCATCTCAATGTGTACACGAGCTCTGTGCCACATCTTGGCAGCTTCGTTCACCTGGATGTGCTCAATGGCCAGCATATCTACATTTAAACCTAAACTCAGCATTGCTCTCTGCATTTGTAACCATGTGCAGCAAAAATTCAGCAGTCTTTTTGGGCCACCAACTCTGCATCCAGCTCCATTGTTTGGCCTGAGTTCACCTACTGTCTTCACCAGTGTATCATGGAATGAGACACACTGCTTCTTTAAAGTGTCATCTTTCAGATACTTGGTGGTTTTTCTGATAGGCACACCCATGATGGCCTGGGCAGTTTCATGAGTCTTATTAAAGTGAACATGAAGATTTGACTATATTGATTTGCATGATTTTGAGGGGGTTTCTGGGTCAAATGAATAGCAAACCATCTTCAGAGCTCAGGTTGTTGACAGGAAGAAGTAGAAGTTTTTTTGTATGTGATGTAAGATACAGGTCATTCTTTTCCATGTGGATTTGCACTTTACCCAGCACCATTTGTTGAAGAGATTCTCCTTTCCCTATTGAGTGCTCTTGGCATGCTTATTGAAGATCATTTGATTCTATGTGCACGGGTTTACTTCTGGGTCCTATATTCTTTTCCATTGGTCTATATGTCTGTCTTTATGGCAGTATCATACCATTGCTATGGTCATTTTGTTAATGGTTTTCTGTATCTTGTTGCTTTTTTGTCCCTCCTTCTCTTACCACCTTCCTTTGTGTTTTTGTGTATTTTTTGGTAGTGACGTGATTAGATTTTCCCTCCTCATTACCTTTTGTATATAGGTGTATATTCTACAGATATTTTCTTCATGGTTACTATTGTAAAACATTTTAAAGTTATAGCATTTTATTCTAAGCCAATAACTTAAAATTGCATACAAAAACTCTAGTCCTTTACAACTTCCCCCCTCCCATCCCACTTCATGTTACTTATGTTACATATTACATTTTTATATATTGTGTGTCCACTAACATAGATTTATAATCATAAAAGTTTTCATGGTTTTGAAATTATATTCTATATTCATAATATATTTTAATCTTTTAAATTTAAATTCTATGTACCAAAATGAAAATAATATAGGTTACTATATCTGTTGATGTATTTACCTTTACTGGAGAAACTCATATTTTTATTTATTTTTAAGATTTTATTTATTTATCTTTAGAGGGGAAGGGAAGGAGAGAGGGAGAGAAACATCAGTGTATGGTTGCCTTTCATGCGTCCCTGCTGGGAACTGGCCTACAGGGAACCAGCCTGCAACCCAGGCATGTGCCCTGACTGGGAATCAACCACGATCTTGTGGTTCGCAGGCCTGTGCTCAGTCCACTGAGCTACACCAGCCAGGGTTTATATTCTTTGTTATTGTCTTTCATGGCTTCTCTTTGTTTTTTACTTAAAAAAATTAAGAAGTAATTGCCATATAACATACTAGTTTCAGGTATACAATATAGTGATTCAATATTTGCTTATATTGCAAAATGGTCACCGTAGTAAGTCTAGTTACCATCTACTATCATTAGTTACAGTTTTCTTTTTTCCAAGTTTTTTTAATTGTTTTTTTTTAAGATTTAAAAAAATTTATTTATCTTTAGAGGGGAAGGGAAGGAGAGAAGGAGAGAAATATCAGTGTATGGTTGCCTCTCTTGAGTCCCCTGCTGGGAACTGGCCTGCAACCCAGGCGTGTGCCCTGACTGGGAATCGAATTGAGATCCTGTGGTTGGCAGGCCTGTGCTCAATCCACTGAGCTACACCAGCTGGGGCTACAGTTGTGTTCTTATGATAATATTTAAGATTTAGTCTTTTAGCAAATTTCAAATATACACTACAGAATTATTAACTATGGTCACCATACTGTACTTTATTTATTTTATAACTGGAAATTTGTACCTTTTGATTCACTTCATCCATTTTTGCCTACCTTTTACCTCTGGCAACCACTGATCTGTTCTTTTTATCTATGAGCTCTGTGTTTTTTTCTCTTTTTTAAAAAATTTCATAAATAAGTGAGATTGGTATTTGTTTTTGTCTGACTTATTTAGCATAATACCCTCAAGGCCTCTTCATGTTATCACAGATGGCAAGATTTCCTTCTTAATTATGGTAAATAACATTCCATTGTAGATATATATACACCTCATTTCAGGTGAAGCCAGGCTGTGAAACTATAGGCTGGCTGCTGCAGTGTGTGGCCTGAGACTCACTGAGGCCAGCTGTTGCTTGTTTGAGATGATTTAGGAAGTTGTGAAGTAGGAACCAAGACCAGCCATTCATGTGGAAAAGCAGCTCCCTGGGGGATCTCCAGTTCAGTCAAATGTTGTTGGCCAGGTTGATGCAGTCTCCGATATGGCACCAGCTTACTAGCTCTGTGGGGTCATGGTTTAGAAAAGGGACAATGGCCTCTGCTCACCTTGAAGGCAGACACTTCAGTTCCTCCCTGCATGCCATTGGTGCCTTTCAAACTGCTACCCTGGTGCCAGAGCTCAGAGGGAGAGAGTCTGAGTAGGTGAGTCCGTGTGCAGGTTCTTTAAGAGATACTGCTTGGAGCTCCAGCAGTTTCTTCCAACAACTCACTCCCTGCCGGTTTTTGCCATTAGAAGTTGTGGGGGCTCATCTTCCTGGCACTGGAACCTTGGGCTGGGCTGACTGGTGTGGACTGGGACTCCTTGATCCCGAGATATCCCTCCCGAATTTTTATCCATCACATGTGGGTATGGGACCAGCCCATTCAACATCAGCCTTTGTTTTATAGTCTGTTTTGTTTTATATAAGTATTGCTAGTCCAGCTTTTGTTTCTATTTGGGTGGAATACCTTTTTCCATCCCTTTACTTTTAGTATGTTGTGTTTTTGGATCTGAAGTGATTCTCACGTAGGCAGCATATGTAGGGGTCTTGTTTTCTTATCCATCCAGCCAACCTATGCCTTTTGATTGGAGCATTTAATCCATTTACATTTATGTAGTTATTGCCATTTTATTACTCATATTTTTGCTATTTTATTGTCTTCTTACAGATGTCTCTTTAGCATTTCTTGTAACTCTGGTTTGGTGGTGATGAACATCTTTAGTATCTTCTTGTCTGGGAGCTCTGGAAGGTTGTCTTGGTGCTGTGGCCTCTCAGCCGGGCACTGGAGCTCTCACGGAGGCGTGCACTGTTGTTACCTACCTCAGTGTCTGTAGGGAAAGGAGGGCCTGGAGGCTTCCTTGTCTTCCATGTTGCTGACGTCACTCGCTATTTCTTTTCTACTCTTATTTTTTTTAATGAATTTCTTAAATGATGCAAAACACACACACAGAAAACTGCATAAATCATAACGGCACAGCCTAATAAATTTTTAGACGTGAACCCATTTGCGTCCCCAGTAGAGAAACAAACGTTACCAAAAGCCCAGGTCCCCTTTCCCCTCGCATTCCCTACCTTGAGTTTCTCTTTTCAAATGTGACTGCTGTCCTAACTTCTCTCTGACTTCTAGCTTCATAGATTATTTTTCCTGTTTTTGAATTTTGTGTAAATGGAATTGTACGATGTAAGCACTATAAAAATTGCAGTATTAGAAAGTACATAGATGTAGACAAGTGCACGTCATAGAAGGTTCAGCTCGACAAATTCTCAAACTGGGCACATATGTGTACTCAGCACCCAAGCTGAAAAAGCATTGCCAGAATCCCAGAAGTGTGCTGTGTCCCCTGCAGTCACTGCCAACCCTTCCTTTCATTACTACCCAGGAAAACTACTTTTAACAAAAATTAGTTTTGATTATTTTGTACTTTTTGGAATCAAACAGTTTTGTGTCTGGCTTTCATTCAACATGTTTATGAGATCCATTCATATTGCTTATAGCTTTTTCATTGCTGTGTACATTTCTATTGCATGGGTGTCCCATAATTTCTTTCCCTTTCTGATTTTAATCCACCTTTGAGATTTTGTAGCTTTTGTTTTTGAATGGAGCTGCTATTAGCATTCTTGTATGCGCCTTTTGGTGCACACACACACATATTTATCTATGGAATGATCGGGTCGGGTCTGAGGGTAGGCACACAGTTTCAGTAGAGTCTCCCAGTTAAAGTTATCCAATGCGGCATACTGAGTTGCACCGGCACATCGCAGTGTATTAGTTTCAGTGGCTCCGTATCCTCAGTGGCACTTAGCATTGTCAGTCTTTTTTTTTCAAAGCTCATTTCTTATTTTTCCAATTTTTTTATTATGGTAAAATATACATAACAGAATTTACCATCTTAACCATTTAAAGGTGTACAGTTCAGTAGTAATATAGACATTCATTACGTTGTACAAACATTACTACCATTTATCTCTATAACTCTTCTTATAAGATGGAAGACTATCGCTAAATAATAGCTGCTCACTCCACTAATCCTGCAGCCCCTGGCAACTACCAGCCCACTTTCTGTCTGATGTTGGCCACTCTGTGCACCTCATACAAATCAAACCACACGTTTTTGTCCTTCTGTGACTGGCTGTTTTCCTGAGCAAAAGGTCCTCCATCCATGCTGTAGCACAAGCCATTGATTCCTGACCTATGCATTTACTTTCTGTTGTAGATAAGGAATTTCATTTTCAAGTTATTTCTATCAAAAGGTAGTCAACTCTATCCCTCGTTTTCAGTTATTGTACCAGCATCCATATTATCAAGTAAGAGAGAAGTTCTTCCAAGTGAGAAAGCTCTCACTTTCTGTAGTGCTCATGGCTTGTTAGTAAAACAATCTGCCGTGGGCCGTGAGGCCCCCGATCTTACTTCTCCCATCCTGTGGGTGTAGGAACAGCTCTAAGAGGAAGCTTCCCTCCAGTCTTGGGTCACAGCCCATACCATTGCTTTCCAGGTTTTCTTCTTCCTGTCATTCGAAGAAAACTTAATTGTGCCACAGCACACCTGGGGTTTTTCCTGTGATGAGTTGTATCTGTAGGTGGAATTTCTGGCAGAAATGGCAGAGAAGGTAAGGTGTAGGCTGCCACAACTACTGTGTGATAATTTCCACTGAAAAGAAGAAAAAGAAAGAGGTAAAAAATAGACAGCACCAAACAGATTCAGTTGCCAAGGAAAGACTTAAATTAGATTTTACAGACCATTTACTCTAAATCAAAACTAAGAATTTTAAATCAAAATTTCATTAATGAAGTAAAATTGTTTTGCTCCTCATTTAATTAAAAGTATTACTTGAAGTGTTGGATCTTTTGTTTCAGTTTCTCAGGACCTGGAAGACATGATGGATAAAAGATTGTCCAATGCTGTTTTCCAGAACTCCAGATCTTTAAGGCAGGGGGAGGGGAGGAGCAGTTGGAAGAAGTACCCACCGCCCTCTCTTCCCTTGTTAGTTACCTCTTGAAGTGGATTTAACTAATGCAAAGAGACAAGATTTCAAACCATCTGTGGAACAAGCAAGATACATCAGCTGCCAACAGAACATGGCTGTGGGGCCCCCAAAACCACTGGAGATGACCTCCCCTTGCCGACATAGCCACTCAGATGATCCCTGCATTGTGATACAGGGAGACAGAGACAGTAGCTCCCGGTATGAGGTTAAGTTCCCCATTTTCCTCTTCTGCCTTCTCTGCCCTCAGAGCCAGCACGTTTGTTTGTGTGGTCTCTCAGGAAATGGGTGTTGTTTATCCTAACTCAGGAACTCATTCCCACCTGTCACTCTTCCGACTATGAGGAGGGATGCCACCTACCAGCGGAAGCTCCGGCAAAAGCAGTTGCAGCAGCAGTTCCGGGAACAAATGGAGAAACAGCAGCAAGTTCAACGATCTGCTCCATCCATTGAAAAGAAGAATCAGGGTGTGTGAGAAGGACGGGGGCAGAGGCTCTAGGGAGGTGTATTCCACCTGGGGACTGCTTGTCAACCGAGTCCCGATCCTCTGCCCAGTGTGGTTTGGTCCAAGTTAGAGCTCAGTAGGCCTTCCCTCAAGTTACACATGGGATAGATGAATCCAAAAAAATTAAGAGAGTAAAATCCTGCCATGTATTTCCCCATTTCTAAAAACACCAAGGAGATGGGCCTTGACAAAACCTGGAACTAGAAATTTCACGGTACAGAACTTATGCTGCATTTTCTTTGGCCGTCTCTGTCTGCATCACAGAGCCTTTCTGAGCTGTCTGACTATAAGGCAGATTTGCTTATAAGGGTAATGGAGGCCCTGGCAATTATGTATGTATGAGCTTTAGTGTATTTCAGAGTCCACATTCAGTGGGAGCTGCACATAGAAGTTATTTTTGGTCTTTCCCAGAGTAGAAACAGGAAGGGCTAATCCCAGACTAATTGGATTTTTGCCCAGCTTCTTCGTAAGAATTTTGAAAAGTTCATAGAGGACTTGATTTCATTAATAGTCCCCTCAGCACTGAGGCTGAAATTGATATGGGGGGTTCCCATGTATTGTGGTGGGGATGTTCTTCGTTTAAAAATTATTCTAGATATTTACTGTATTTTGCTGTGTATAATGTGTTCCCATATATAATGCGCACCTATGTTTTTGGCCCAAAGTTCCAGGGGAAAAAATCTTTCAATTCAAAATTTTATTCATTTATATTTAGATACTTGTTTTTTTGTATTATAAAGGAATTTTAACACTTATTTTTGAAGATACTATGGTACAAGAAATTTTATGTAATAATTACAAAACACAAGAACACATACAAGGTATTTTAAGTACTAGCCATGTGTATAATGAATGCGCATCCTTATTTTTCCCTCAAAAATTTGTGCTAGAAGTGTGCATTATACAAGGCAAAATATGGTAGCTTCCAAACCACTGCTGAAGTCTGGGGTGGTGGGAGATTGAGGGTGGAGAGTCCCCCAGGCCTCTCCCCACCCACATGACCAGTCACTGTTTCTGTTGTTTTTTTCTACATTGGATTTCTGTTAAAGATTTTATTGGAACAAGGGTTATAGCTTTAAGAAGTGTTCTAAGAACCTTCTGTTTTTGCCGCTAAAGGAGAAATAAACTGTTTCCCCCCAGTTTGGTAGGAAGGAAAAGGTTTTTTTTTTTAACAAGTAGGACTAGAATGCAGGAATCTCAAGTTCTGCTGTTGGCAGGCTGTGAACCAGTGTAACACTAGACAGCTTTGCATTTCTGAACCTGCTCCCTCTGAGTTCTATGGTCTCTCTCTGTGTGAACTGTAGCAGAGCCACCAGCGCCTCCTTTGAAGCATGCCACTTCCAAAGTGGAGGGTGCAGAATCACTCATGGAGAGCGACTTCCCTGAAGGTCAGTAGGGGCTAAAGGAATGCTAAATATTAATCAGGAAATACCTGTGAAGTGCTTGTAAGTTACTGTGCTGGATACCTCTGGTAGTTACAAATGCATTCTACAAGAAGCATAAAAATCCTGTTTTATAGTCCCATAGTTTTAGAAAAAAGAGGACCCAGAATGGACTGATAGCAGTAGCCATCATTCAGTTCCTGTTTTCCTAAGAGGAGCATCGATGTACTTTTAGGAGTTGGGGACAAAAATTCTAAAAACTATCGTAGGGCTGTCGTGGCATGGGATTTCTTATGACCTGTTCTTTGCAGTGCTTTATGTGAGAATACTTCGTTTGCTGATGCTACATTTTCCTGTGCTCTCTGTCCTTGCAGACAGTTTTGAAATATGGGCTATGGCTCCAGATGCAGGGGACAGTGTTGTCAAGCCCCTGTCTAGACCAGAACCCCACCAGACTGCTGCCATACCAGTCCTGAACAACCAGATGGTGACCCAGAACAGGACCCCACAAAGCCTTTGCCACCAGTATCCACATGCAAAATCTGAACTTTGGCACTTCCAAACTCCCAACATTAACATAACAGGTAGCAGTGTTTTAGGAACAAAAATTGAAGGGAGAACCTGGGCTTAAACCTATGAATTTTAAAGAATAACATTCTATTTAAAAAGGATAAAATCATGACAGAGTAATGGAAGTGTAACAAACTCAAAACTATCAACAACTGAACCTATAAACAAAAGATGAGCAAGCAACTAGAACAGGAACAGAATCACAGAAATGGAGATCACATGAAGGGTTATCAGTGGGGACGGGGAGGGGGCAGAATAGGGGGAAAGGTACAGGGAATAAGAAGCATAAATGGCAGGTAGAAAATAGCCAAGGGGAGGTTAAGAATAGTATAGGAAATGTAGAGGACAAAGAACTTACCTGTACAACCTATGGACATGAACTAGGTTGGGGGGATGCAAAAGGGGATAAAGTAGAGAAAAAAATGGGACAACTCTAATAGCATGATCAATAAAATATATTTAAAAAATAGAATTGGTGTGAGAGCCGGAACTTGTCCTTTGACATCCTGACTTGAGCCCTTGATGGCAGTGGGAAGCTCTAGGGCAGTGGTGTGGGGAGGCGAACGTAATTTCTCCTCCTTAACTGTTAAGGAGTAGTTACATTTATAGTCCTAAAAATTATTTTGGCCCCTTGAAGGCAACCTTGAAGCCGATGTGCCTCCCCATACCCCGTGAAAGGGTTTAACACCGCTGCTCTAGTGTGACAACATCAGAAGTTTTCCAGTGAAAAGTGGGCTATTGTGATTATTAGTGAAACTTGATCTAGACAACTTAACAGAGGGATATCTTCCTTATAAAAATTTCCAGGTTTAGGTTTTTAGTTTAAATTTGGCTTGTTATCTAATATAATTCAGAAATTACTAGCTGTGAGCTGACTTTAAAACCAAGGCAGCTGTATGTTAATAGCTTTTTCTTTCACAGGCAACTGTGATTCCTCTAGGAAGAACCAGGACACGAAAAAAAGGAAATTGGATCCATCTTAAAACTCAGGTCACATCACTGGACTGTCAGAGAAAACTGCTTTTTGGCCATGGAATTATGCATCATTCCTAGGGGATGAGCTTTTATTTCCAAAGATTCAACTATTGGAACTTACTGCAGATAAAGCTGAGCAGATGGAAAATAAGTACTTTAAAAAAGCTTGTCACACACTGCAGTAGGCTTTGGAGAGATTAAATACTCTTTCTCGGGCTTTTGAGGGTCTTTTTTATTCCTAACTATTGTTAATAAATGTGTAACTTTTAGGACTCACCAGTAATATAAACACCAACTTTTAATTTTTTGTATTTCTTACTGTATTTTTTCATTACCAATTATCCCCCATATACTCTTTTAAACAACTACATTAAACTGTTGTGAGTGATCTCTCCCTTCTTTCTGAACTTTAGGGCACCAAGTCCTAACATTTCCCACATGAGGACTGTGCATCATGCTCAGAACAAAGCCCAGCCTGTCATCCTCATCTGTGACAATTCCCTTGTTTATTAAGGAAACAATGACCTAGGCCCAAGAAAGAGATTTCAAGAGCACAAAATAAATCCATTACTTTGTAACAAAATGAAAAATATAAGTAGCTGTTTTTATTTTCCCATTTCAGATGATACAACCCACTTGAACATAAATTGTTTTTCCGTGGTGCTCAGTAGTTGTTTTACGGTTCTTTTAAATAATGAGTTTGCTAATTTACTTTTTAAAAAAAGGATTTTATTTTTAGAGAGGGGGAGAGAGAAACATCAATGTGTGGTTGCCTCTCGCATGCCCCCTACTGGGGAACTTGGTCCACAACCCAGGCATGTGCCCTGACTGGGAATCAAACCAGTGATCCTTTGGTTCACAGGCAGGTGCTCAATCTACTGAGCCACACCAACCAGGGCACAAGTTTACTTTTTAAGGTGCTTTTTCGGCTGTATCTCTCATCTAATCTTGAAGCACTGGCTTTCACTATTTTTTTTTTGATAACAGACCCACTTGTGGGAAGCGGAGAATCTGAGGCAAGGAACTCTTAATGCACAGACGACAGCCAGCCATTTCTACTCCTTGGGAAGATGAAGAGGCAGATTTGGTCACATAGTCATCTTTTGATTTTGATAACCTTACCATCTTCTTCAGAGCAAATAGCATTTTGTCTGCAGCATAACCTCATTTCAGATCAGAACTGACACTAAAAACAGTTCCTGCAGTTAGGAATCCATTTATAAATTGCACACAAAAACAGAGCCAATGAAATCATGAAAAGGAACTGACTGGAAATGAAATCTCACAACTTAACAAAGCAAGTTTGGTTTATTTGAATGGTTTCATTAAATAAGTCTACAAAAGTAACAAACTGAAGCACAAAGTGCAATCTTACAAGAAGCGCGACACCCAGAGTTAGTGCAAAATGTACAATTAACGGCTGCAGAGAAACTCAAGGTTTAAATTCAGTTTATTCATTTTTTAAAACAGTGTACATTGTTAAATAATGTAAGGAAAACATTTATAATTCAGAAAGATCTTTTTTTAATGTGGAAAAAAGATACTCAAAGTGTACTATTAACACAAAAATAATTTAAACACTTCAGTAGCACTAGTTCATTCCTCTAGGCTTCAGTTATTTCATCCACAGGAGGGAAAAAAATCAACAGTAAATAAAACCAGTTCTTACTTTTTTGTGAGTGAAGCGATCTCAACATTATTGAACCAAAATAACAAACGATGTGCTGCATTTGGTTTGCTTGTTTCCCTAGTAGAAAGTATTGTTTTATTTGTCTTAGGTGGTCTGTTTCTTATTTGGCCACCATCTTTGTTCTAGCCTTACTCTTACTATCTCCCCAAGAATTATAAGCAGAGGATAAGTAAACAATTTTGAAGAAGGGCTTGAAAGGCACGCCCTGTTTATTTCTACATTGCTAAAATCTTCGGCTTTCATTTGGGGCCAAGGCTAATTTACAGAGACAGGCCCACAAAGGAACAACAGGAGAGGAGAGCCAACCATGCTCTTCCTACTGCAGTGATTCCTGGGATGTGCTATTGAGGTGGGTAAGAGGTTAGAATATGTCAATTCCCCAACTCAAGAGTCAAGACAAGAAGCACCCCCAAAATTAAGAGTCCTAGCTTCCCCCCATCTTCTGAGATAGTAAAGATCCCAACCTAGCCAATTAGGAAAGTATTTCCTGAAAGCTCTGAAAACAACAGAACTGCCCATTACAACTAGGTATAGCTAAATAATACTGGTTGGTTGCAGTTATTAATTAAGGAGAATATTTGTTAATATGAACTGTGGGAATATCAGTTGCAATTGCAGAAATAAAGGTGGCATGAAAGACGTGATCCTGCAACCATCTGCACATTTTATATAGAAGAGCAGGAAGAAAAAGCATTCTTTCGGACAATGCTTAATTCAGATGTGGGTCCACTTTTCGCAAAAAGATACAGTACCCTCAAGCTGAGAAATGCCCGGTACATTTGCAACAAGAGGAGAGCAATGCGAACAGTCCTCTGAGCAACTTTCTCCATCTATGTCTTCCCACTATCACGTTTCCCAGCTTCAAAACAAGCTCCCACCTGCTTCTCTTTATATTCAGCCATTTCTTCTAGGTCTGTTCAAGCCCAGCTCAAATGAGTTGGCCAGGCATCACATATCTTTTAAACAAATACGTTCTCCCACTTTTAGTCTTTTTCTTTCACTTATTGAAAGTTTTACTTTCACATAGCACCTTACTCTTCTCAAGTGCCCAATTTTGTCCCAGCACCCCTCCTCAAACACTTTCTGCTTTTAACCACCGATGTCAACTTAACTTCTCACCCTGCTCATCTTACACCTGCTCTAGACAAAATTATTAAATGACTTTATAAAAAAATCTTTCAATTTCCCTTTGGCATCATCCGCTGCTGGGGTCACGTGGACCTAAGATTTCCTTCCATATGCCCTTTGCTGATCCGGGGTCTGATGAGAAGTTGATGCTAATGGCAGAAGCAATAAGTCCAAGGCACTAAAAAATCCAGCAAGCAATACTGGTTGAACAGAAGTATTCAAGTACAGTAATTTATACAATTTTACATTCACATTTATTTATCTAATACAATGGAAGTACAAAGGAAAAAGTTAAAGTGTCTTAATAAGTAAAGGACAGAGCTAGCTTTTCTTCCCAACTTTTTAAACCTTTCATATTTTCATCTTAAAACTACTGTTGTCCAACAACATTTATATATCACAGTGTTTCCACATCAAAACTGATGGCAAGTTACATGTCCGCAGGGAACTTTTTTTTTCCTAATTGCTAATGCTGCAGGCAAAGCTGCTAATATCATCTGCTTAAAGCACTAATGACTTATCATAAGAAAGGGTTGAAGCCTCAGTCTCCTGGTGTTTTTCACTGGGTTCTAAAAAGAGAAAAAAAGAAAGAAAAACAAGTGGGGACTGGGTAGGAAACAGGGCAGGAGAGAGCCCAGTATTTTTTTTGTTTTGTGGTTTAGATTTTTGAGGGAATAGGGACTGGGGATGGGTGCCCAGAAAAGCACTCCACCCACTTGAAAATACAGAAGGGTTTTGGTTTTCCCTTGAGTACTCTAGTAGCTTTCTGATAAAGCCTTTCTTTGCTAGCCCTCGCTGTGGGTACAGGAAACAGGGAAACTTACAATCTGAAGACGCCCCACCATAAGCAAGCTGCTCTTTCCTTTTTGTCCACTCCAATTGATGGCAAAGGGGAAGGAACACTCTCCATCCTGAGGGCTCTAAGCAGTACCAAAAACATTCCTTTCTGGCAAGAAATAATCAGTTAAATGCAGCACTAGTAGTTAGCAAGTAATCAGTTAAATGCAGCACTAGTAGTCAGCACTCCCTCTCCTGCCCCCAGATCTGCTCAATTAATGTCTCTAGGTCTGACTAAGTGGTCCTCAGGTTGGAACCTGGGGGATTGCTGATGGATTTTTGCAAATTGCTGATGTTGAAATTTTGTAAGGAGGCAGTCCCCACAGGCTGGAACTGCCCAAGAGGCTGTGCTGTGGGGCCACCCGTCCCACTCCACTGAGTGTTAAAGGGTGGAGCTGGAAAACTGTACTGCTGTGGTGGGCACATAGACTTGGTGAAGTGACCTAGAGAGGTAGCTGATGCTGCAGAGATGGGGGCAGAGCCACCCAGATTTGAGGTCATGGAGATGCACAGCTGACCAGGTGCAGAAAACTTCCGTGCCATCCCAGGGCCCTGAAAACAAAACAACTCATTGTAAAGTATGGTATGAGCATAACATGCACGAGTGTGAAATGGGCAGTACTAAAATATAATTTTGCAACCAGGACTGGTGTAGTCTTATGAAACCTTTCCATTATTATGGCTCTTCATACTTACCAAACAGGGTGAGGATAACTATTCTGACAAGAAGTGGGAGGGGTCATGCACGTGTGTATGTGCGGGCTGCGGTTCAGGGCATTAAAGGAAAAGGGAAGAAAAAATTGAGTTGCCCAATAGAGAGAGAAGGATCCAGGTAAGGAAAAATTAAAGGCTACTTGAGTGATTTTTGTTTTCTTGTTTTTCTAAAAGTGTTAAAATTAAACAATTAAACACTAAAGAAGGTCATAGCCTAAAATGTTAAGCACTGGGCCAGGTAGTTTCTAACGCTCCAACCCAGATGTGCTAAGTGACACAAAAGGGAAAACTTACCTCGTAGTTTGTATGTCCTTTGCTTCCTCTCCTGCCTGAAAGATTCATGGCATCTCGGGCCCAATTGTCTACCAGCTTGTGCAGGTCATCTGTGAACGTGCCCTTCCTGCTGGAGGTCAGGGCAGGAGGCTGGGCTTGGGTGGCCTGGCTGTTCACTGTTCCCCCAACAGTGTTTGTGCTGCTGGTCCCTAGAGTTGGAAGAAGCAACAGAATATAACCATTAAAAGGCATGTGGAATTTAATTTAATGAGCAGGAAGAGCGTCACAGAATGATGACTGGCAAGCCACAGAATGGGGAGAGGATGGACTAGGAAGCCATGCAAGAAAGGAAGGAAGAGTCCAAGGTCTTACTTAGCCAACGCTTTGGCAGAACAGGTAACGGAACCAGATTCTCTTCAGGAGCTGCAGGAAGGCTAAACAACTCAGGATGATGGTCGGCACAGAGGGCACGGGCCTCTTTCAGCCTATTCACATGGCATCTCAGAGTACTGAAACGTACTGCCAGAGATCGCTCCCAGCATCGTATTGATGAGGGAAGTATGGGAGGGTCAGT